TTGCAGATTTCGTGGCAGGATGTTGAGGAAGTTCCCAATCTCACTATATATTTTTTTTAAAAAAAGAATCATTAGCTGAAGAAGAAAAAAGATAAAAAATAGTAATCTTGGGAAGTGAAATAATCTTGGGAACTGAATAACTAATTTGAGATTTCTGATTAAGAATTTAAAAGAAGCCTGTCAACCTGAAAGCTAGTTCTCTGCAGTCAGTAAAGAGGTGAACACTGAAAATTGCTCTAGATGGGTCTAGAGAGAGCTTATACAGTAATTATAGTTTATTTTCCTAAATAATCACTTGAAGTATACAGGTATAATATAATCCATGACAATGAGAAACATACAACTAACAAAATTTGGAAAGTAGAAGGGGCAAAGAAGTGTAAGAGATTAGACATTTCAAAGCTTCATCTTACAGAGAATGAAGAGCTAAAGTATACTTTTTAAGGATGAAAATCCAAGAAATAGAAGTGGAACATGTATTAAAACTTAAATATAGTATATAATATACAATAATATATTATAGTAATTATGATATTAATTAACATTCACACACATATAAGCTCAAGATTATGATTTCCAGCCTATTTTTAATTAACCTGTGTTTTGTTGGGCATGCATGAGGCCCTGGGTTCAATTCCCGGCACCATACACACACAAAAAAATGTTAATGCACTATGTCAAAAATTTCATTGAAATAGTTGCAGAATTGAAAACTTGGGATCTAATGGGTTAAAGTACTGAAATTACATATTTAAATTACAAACTTTACCATGAGATAATTAAAATACTGGGAGGAAATAGTTTATGTTATCTAAATGTTTATCTACCATAAGTGAATACCATGTTGAAAGTTGATTTAAAAAAACAAACAAACAATTAATGGGGCTGGGGATATAGCTCAGTTTGTAGACTGCTTGCCTTGCAAGCACAAGGCCCTGGGTTCAATCCCCAGCTGCGCAGCGCGCGCACACACACACACACAAAGAAAAAACAAAACAAAAAAGCCACACATACAATTAGTGGAGATATTTTATTTATTTATAAATTTATTAATAAGCAGGAATCACCAGAAGAAACAAAAATGGAAAGCTAAAAGTGATTGCTTATAGGGCTGGGGGTGCAACTCAGGGTAGAGCACTTGACCAGCATGCTCAAGGTCCAGGGTTTGATCCTCATCACATAGGGAATTGCTTTTGGGAAGTGAAAATAAAAATAGGATAGGAAACTATTGCTTCACATCATAAGCCCTTATGTGCTATTTGATTTTTAAAAATAGCATATGTGGCCATTACCATATTTTAATAAAATTAAAATAAAAGCCTATCTAGGTGTGAACTTGGAACTACGCTTTTGTAAAATGAACTAGGTTTTATCAAGGAGACTGATTTCTAGCCCCCTTCTATCCCCTCTTCATAGAACTCTCTCAGTACTAGTTTTCTCCCCAAATCAAAGGAATTCAAAGCTTTCCTGGGCCTGATTTCCTCCTACTTCCTCTAAGGAATAATTATTTTTGCTTTCTGCTCCTCAAAATTGATTATCACACACCTAGTCTATTCTTGGTTCCATTCTGAAAATGCCTTACTTTTTGGCAGGTAGTAAAATTCAATCATAATCTAATAAATGCAGATTCTTTCTTCCTCCTGTTCACATTTCTGCCAAGATATTAAGGTATTATTTAATGAGTTATCTCATTTAGGGAGATGTGATTTTGTTTTGTTGTTTTTTAAGCTCAATAACAGGTGATTAAGTTGATCAAACACTTCATTTTGTTGGATAGTATGAGGGGTTCATGCAAAGCATATGATGAATTTATTTCCTTTTATTTTCATTTCTTCACTCTCACCTTGAGAATGTATTTCTAAAATACTGAGCTCAAAGGAATCAATTTACATTAACAAATTATTAGGCACTGGTACAGATGAGAGATTATTTGAGAGTGCTTGGGGCTTTCCCAAGGCATTTCTAATTACTTCATCTTTACAGGATTCATTTCATTGTTTTTATGTAATGATTCAGTAGTCCCTATGAACTGGGGCTGGAATCAGGATAGACCCTGAATAGTTGTTGAGATAAATGTTTCCTTATTACAAGGCCTCCTTAGCTTGATCTAAAAATGGGTTTAGAACAACACCCCAAGCATGTGGGTGTGTAATAAATACTAATTCTGTGATGATGATGAAAAACTTCTACAGACTTAAGGCAAGGATCACTGACTTATTCACCACACCTCCTCAATTTACATTCTTACAGCAAAGATGAAACTCATCAAATAATTCTGACAGATTTATATGCTTAATTAACATGTTGAATATAAGATAAACAAGTAGCCTACAATTAACTGCAAACCATTATTATTTCCACTATTAACTGATGTCCACCAATCACATTACATAACCCACACAACAAAGATAATATCTATTTCCGAGAAGCACAGCACATTATTTTGCATTTTCTGTATCTCATTTACTCAATAAAAATTTCCCAAAACAAAAACCATTATTGGTATTAACACTTAACCAGAAGTTCATTGTTTAATGCAAACATCTATTTTCTAAGTAGAGGGAAAAAATCATGTATCTTTCTGTATTTTGTGATTTTTCCACCCAAAGATATGAAAGTTCTAATAAAAAGGTGATGGAGGCTTTTGAATTAAAAGCTATTTAGTATTACTATTATGAGAGATTGAACCCAAGGTACTTAACTCCTGAGCCACATCCCCAGACCATTTTTATTTTTATTTTGAGACAGGATCTCAATAGTTTGTTTACAGTCTCACTATGTTGCTGAGGCTGCCTTTGAACCTGAGATCCTCCTGCCTTACCCTTCTGAACCTCTGATTACAGGTGTGCATCACCACATTCAGCCTGGCTATTGAGGAGGCTAAGGCAGAAGGATGCAAATTTGAGGCTGGATGGGCAATTTAGCAAAACCTTGTCTCAAAATAAAACAAAAAAGGGGTGGGGATGTAGCTCAGTGGAAGAGTGCTTGCCTACCATGCATAAGACTCTGGGTTCAACCCCAGTACAAACAAAACCAAAAACAAACAAAAACCATTACAGACAAGAAGTAGCTTCTATTTTCCCCCCTACATTCCATTTCTTTGATACTTTTATATAAAGTCTGCACCTTACCTTCATGTAATTGTGCAGAACACTTATATCTTATTTCTTCTATTTTTGCTAATTTATCTACAAGATAAATTACATGATTTGAGTTACCTCCCTGCCTGGGCAGAGGCGCTTAGACACATCCTTGTGTCCAGAGCTTTCCTCACCCTTCTCAGGTCCCAGGGCTTGTCTGTGTGGAGGTGTGTCTGGCCAGTACCGGAAGACCCAACTGTCCCACCTGACCTTGGGACACTGCCCCCCTTAATCTTCATTGGATGGGATTTTCCCCAGAATTTTTTGTTCCCCAATAAAAGACCACTCCCTGGCGTCTCTCTGGCTAGCCTCTTCAGTAAACCTCGCTACTCTAATAGGTAGGAGGGTGGAGCTAGGAGAAGCTATCCTTGAGCTGGTTTAAAGGTAATTAGAGCCTGTCTCTTTAATTCAAAACTCCCTTCAGATTTCTTGCGTAGCTGAACCTTCATTTATGAAGCCTGTGCTGGCCGCGGGCTACACAAGAGTATTCCTTAAAAAAAAAAAAAAAAAAAACCAAAACCAAAAAACTTTCAAAAATACTTATTTTGGAAATTCTCTCCTGGATTTCTGCGAACAAAATCCTGCTTGATTTCATCCATGCAATAAATTCAGTATATTGCTCAAACACACTGCTTAAATAAAAGAATGAATGCAAATGCTTCTTTATGGATCTAGATTACACTGGATTTAAGATAACTTCAAAGCGTTTTAGTTAAACATAAACAGATGTCCTCCAAAAAGTTTCTCACCTTTAGTATTTGTGATTGCTAGTAAGAGTCAACAGGAACAACTCCCTTGCAAAACAGTGAAATAGCAAAAGAATATTAAAGGAAAGAGAAGGGAAGCAACATATAATTTTTTTTACATTAAACTCACTCAGTGTGTTTAAACTCACTTATTCTTGGAGTTAAAATAATGTGTTCTGTGACGAAAATAAATAATCCCTTCTTACATTACAAAAATACAAAAAATACTAGAAGGGGCTGGGGATGTGGCTCAAGCGGTAGCGCGCTCGCCTGGCACGCGAGCGCCCGGGTTGGATCCTCAGCACCACATACAGACAAAGATGTTGTGTCCCCCGAGAACTAAAAAATAAATATTAAAAAAAAATTCTCTCTCTCTCTCTCTCTTTAAAAAAAAAAATACTAGAAGGAGGCTGTGTAAGTTTGAATTCTGGCTCTGCTGTTGTGCGACCTGGGTCGATGCCACGCCTTACCTTCTGTCTGCAAAACGAGGTTAACATCTACCTCGAGAGTGGTGGTTTAGTTAGATAAATTGAATAAGACCAAGTTTACGCATTGTCTGGCACTTACTAGGCGCTCGGTGTGGTTCCTATCATTAATAGTAAATCAAGTTAGTATTCAGTGATTCACTCGAAACCATATACACACAGATGAGAATTCAGTTGGAATCTTATTCAGATACTAAAATTAAAGTCAGGCATTTTAAAAACTCCACTCCAGGTATTATTTTTTGTATCTCGCAGTGTATCCTGCTCAAATCATTTTATTCTGGGTTCCACATTAAGCTTAGCGAATACATTGCTTCGTGACATTGTCTCTTAACGCAAAATATGCAAAGCCAAATACTGACCGAAAAAAAAGGACCCTCTAACGCACCGTTTTAAGTGCGTGCCCTTTTTTGGCGGAAGAGACTGTTTTTCAATCGAAACGGGGACTCGAAAACTAAGCAGGATCTTGCAACATTGGATCACAGCCTCAAAGTACCAGAATAAAACTTTGTTGCTAGCTTTCGACGCAAGATTGCAAATTCCACAGCCACGGCCGGAATCCAGGGCTCCCGACGCGCGACAGCAGCACGACAGGGGCGGGGCCGCGGCCGTAGAGCACTGTGCCGAGACCACGTGGCCTTGGAGGCGGCTCAGGGCGCCCTTGGAAGCTCCCGGATCTGCGGTCATGGCTGGTCCAGCGCAGGCCGGTGGGGCCAGGTCCCTAGACCTGCTCCGGGCCCTGCCGCGTGTGAGCCTGGCCAATTTAAAGCCCAATCCCGGCTCCAGGAAACCGGTAAAGGACTGGTGGTGGTGCGGGAGAGCGCTGGGGGCCCGGGCAATGGCAGCGGCCTTTCTCTGCACATCAAGCCCGAGAAGTCCTTTCCTGGGGGTGTCGGGGTGGACATAGGCTTGCCGGACCCCTGGTACCCCTTCACTGTACCGAGGAAAGTCTTTCCGCCTGCTCTGCATTCATAAAGAGAGCTTTATTTAAAAGCATATTAGAGGAGCAAACCAAGCACTACGAGATGATCGTAATTCAAATTTGGATTTAAAATGAAGTGCTCTCCTAGAAAGTGTATTTTTTCGGCATCGGAAAGACGTGAATTGGTTTGTCATTTATCTCTTCTGCAGTTCACCGAATACAGCTAGAAAAGCTGTGGTCGACGTTCGGTCATTGTAACAATTTATTGCTTACGCGAAGTGACAGCAAGTAAATTAAGGAAAAATATTTTTTAAAATAAATTAAGTATTTAAATAAAACAGTGTATATTGGCAACAATTACATACGTACAGTTACATTTAAAATGAAAACATTTTCTTGATTATAATTTAAGCTTTGTTGTGGATGTTTAATTCTAGGGATTCCCCCCCCCCCCCCCAGTTTTGGGCTATTACAGAACCCTAGTCCCATCCCACCCTTGCAGCTCTCCACAACTTGTATTTTGGTTATAAAAAGTAATTACATCCTCAGAGGCACAGATACCAATAGACTATGTGTATGTTTGAGTAGCTAGAACAGTGGTTGGAACATAGTGTCAGCTAATACTGGTTGGTTGGGTGAGTGAATGACATAACCACACACACAGAGCAAAGAAGCGAAATATAGTTTTTAGAAATGTATCTGAAGATCTTAAAATTCAACTCTTATCTTTATAGGCCAGGCGACCAAGAGGTCGGAGAAGAGGTAGAAAATGTGGGAGAGGCCATAAAGGAGAAAGGCAGAGAGGAACCCGGCCACGGCTGGGCTTCGAGGGAGGCCAGACTCCATTTTATATCCGAATCCCAAAATATGGATTTAATGAAGGACATAGGTAAGGTTGTGCAGTTTCTCAAAGTACAAACCACTAATTTACACTGAAAATCACCTAAACAGTAATTTAGTAGAAACTTTAAATTCATTTTGGAGCTAATGTTAGAAAAAAAATCTTTTTGCTATTGGTCCTACAAATCACTTTTGTAATGAGACTTAGGCCTGGATTAGTAGTGGAAAAAAGCTCAAACATTGTACTGCAAAATGAAGATGGTAATGTCTGTGCTTCTCTCTTGTGATTTCCACACACACACACACACACACACACACATCTGAAAATGCTAAACTCTTTTTTTCTTTTCTTTTAGGAGAGACCTAGAGGTAGAAAATTTGGCTCTCATGTATAAAGAAAACAGGCATTTTCAATATTATATATGTATATGTATGGTATTTGTACACACACATACACATAAACACATAATATCTAGTCCACTGTATTTACCTATTAAATGATAACTGCAATTATTTCTTTATACTCCATTACTATGTAATTCAGATAGTGGGTTAAATTTGTTAATTTGTGTATATAGGTGAAGTAAATGCTTTAGAGAGGCAAATTATTTTTAGTGGAATAAGGAAGTACTAGTTTTATTTCATTACTGCAAATTCAGCAATATTACATGCTTTTGTTATACTCAGGAGGGTTTTATTTTGTTAAACCTTCAAAACTGATGGAAGAAAACAGAGGTCAAAGCTTTGGATTGATTTCTAGAAATTTTGGAATAATTAATTTGTATTTTCCAACTGTTACATTGTTGTTTCATAGCTTCAGACGCCAGTATCAGCCTTTGAGTCTCAAGAGACTGCAGTATCTTATTGATTTGGGTCGAGTTGATCCTACTCAACCTATTGACTTAACCCAGCTTGTCAATGGGAGAGGTGTGACTATCCAGCCTCTTAAAAGGGACTATGGTGTCCAGCTTGTTGAGGAGGTAAGTCTGAATTAGACCTCTTGGTGTTAAATAGAAGGAATTTTTAAATTCCCCGTATAATAGACTCCCTCCCCACCAGCTCCATGGGTGATACCTTTAAAGTGGAGGCCTGAAACTATGTTTTTGCCTTTATATAATATATCTATGATGAAGATTAATTTATCAATTAGAGACAGGAGAGGTTAACATCAATAATTTACTGTAGCTGTTAGCAGTCTCAGCATACAGTTTTTTTTTTCTTGTTAAGCCCAGAACTTTCACCTTTTCATTTAGAAAAAGTACTTTATGGCTTCTCTTTGGATTGTACAAAATTCGATCATCACTACTATTACGCTTTGGAGTCATTAATAAGTAAAAATAAGGGTTACTTGAATATAAATACTGTGGTGCTGTAAGAGACTAATGAGTTGGTATATACTAGAATGGGGTGGGATGGTATTAGATGTCAGCACTCAGTGCACAGTTTAAAACTTAGGATGAATTGTTTTTATTTCAGGAATTTTCTATTTGATATTTTTGGACCTGGAATGTACATCTTCTGTGTATCCTACAGCTTGCTCCCTCACTACCTTTGGTTCCCTGCTTAAAGGTGAACATATCAGGATGGTGGTTTTTGACAGCTTTTTATAAGAGTACTTGCCTTACCCTTGCAGTCACACTTTCTCCATTACCCTGCCCAAAGCATTTTTTTTGAATCTATATTAACATCTGTTATTTATTATTTAGGCATTTATGTTTCGTTGTCTTCCTTTCTAGAATATAAGTTCCCCTGGGGGCAGGTAATTTGATTGCTGTTATTTTCAATAATCTTTTATGATAGTCACTCAGTGAATATTTATAGGAGAGAGGTATGGAATGAACCAAATCCCATTCTAATTGCACTAAATAAGTTTTGTTTATAGGAACTGGCCAGGAATTCATAAACATAATTTTTGTAGGTTAATCAACTACTGTTTGTTCTATGTAGGTGGGTAGATAACGTAGTGTCCACTAGGGGGAAGCATATGTTTATGGAAAAATCTTTTAGATACGTTTGAAAAAGCAGTCTCCTGATTAAACTTTTCAGATAAGATAATTTGAAAAGAGCATACCAAGTACATGATTAAGCCTCAATATTTTACTTTGGGTGTATAAGGAATCAGACATATATCTTAACATATGGGAAAATCCATGAGCTCATTAGGTCTTAAATTGCACATCCCAATATCTTCAGGTCTATGTCTATTAAACTAGCAAAAATTTTCCTGAAAACTTTACCCCAGGGCTGTGGTTGAGTAAATATAATCATACATTATTTATGGCTTTGTAAATTCTTTACATTTTCTGGATTTTACATACACAAGTACATAGTGGGTAATAAACGAAACAAGATATAAAGCTATTTCTAAAAATGCTATTTATTATACTGAGAATACTGGAACTGACATCAGTGTCCAAGAATAGGGAGATATTTACACAGTTTATGGAATAGTAATTAAAAATCAAAAATAATATGTCAAGGCCCTATTTTATGAATCCAAAGGGCCATTGATTATAAAAATTCATACTGATATTAAAGATAAAAATATGAGAATTACATTTTAGGTTTGATGGAATGTTTTTTGAAATACATGAAAATTTTTTACTCAAAGGAACCAAATTGGAAACCAGTTTTTTTTTTTTTAAAGAGAGAGAGAGAATTTTTTAATATTTATTTTTTAGTTTTCGGCGGGCACAACATCCTTGTTTGTATGTGATTCTGAGGATCGAACTCGGGCCCCACGCATGCCAGGCGAGCGCGCTACCGCTTGAGCCACATCCCCAGCCCAAAGATTTCTTTTTTTTTTTTTTTTTTTGTGGTGATGGGAATTGAACCCAGGGCCTTGTGCATGCAAGGCAAGCACTCTACCAACTGAGCTAAATCCCCAGCCCCCAGTTTGTTTTAACCACACCAAAATAGCAAAAAAAAAATTTCTTTTCCTACAAAAGAGTGGCAGTGGTGCCATCTTTTATTTGGAAGTAAATAAAAATACCTTTTTTGTTTTCAATTTAGAGATTATAACAAAGTCTAGTGAGTACAAAATGAATTTTTGTTTTCTACCTTTTCCTAAAATGAGGGCTGACGCCCTCTAAAATTCAGGTGTTGCCAGATATTTTGTTCTTCTCACTGTTCCAACTCCCTTGTGGAAACTTTCACTTCCTCTTGGTCTCTTGATTTTTTAGGGATAAGGAAGATTAGTTTTTTATAATGCAGCAAAATGTTGTAGTTAAGAATATAAAATCTGCTGGGAGTGTAGGTCAGTGGTTGAGTGCTTGGCTAGCAAGTACAATGCTCTTGGTTCCATCCCCAGCTGCACAAAAAGAAAAACAAAAACTACCTCAAATGCTGTGACTAGGTCCTTGGATTAGAATCCTAGCTTTCTGATCATGGGCCATTTACTCAAACTCTCTGTGCTTCAGCCCCCTGTCTGTGAAGTTGGTATAGCAATAACCCTGCCATATAGTTGCTATGAACATGAATTAATCTACTATTTATCTACTATTAATGAAAACATATCCATTTCTACTTACAGAGATTTAAAATTGGTAAAACAGGGGGCCTAAATAAAATGTAAAAAAAAAAAAAAAACTTTTGATAGATATTTTAAATAGAAATTATTACTAAATTACAGGTCCTTTACAGGGGAGAGTACAATTTAAAAGAAAGCTTGAGCTGCGCATGTGGTGGTCATCTGTAATCCCAGCAGCTCAGGAGGCTGAGGCAAGAGGATTTCAAGTTTGAGGCCAGCCTTAGCAACTTAACAAGATCCTGCCTCAAAAATAAATTGAAGGGCTGGAGTCATAGCTTAGTGATAGAGTGCTTGCCTAGCATGTGTGAGGCACTGGATTCAGTTCTCAGCATCACATATAAATAAATAAATAAATAAATAAATAAATAAATAAATAAATAAATAAAGGTACACCTATAACTAAACAAAAATAAAAAATAAAAGGCTGGGGATATGTCTCCATGGTAGAGGTCCTCTGGGTTCCCTCCCCAGTATACACACAAATACAAAATCAATAAAAAGGAAACATGCCTTAATTATTTTTATTCAAGCTATTTATTAACAGACTTTGTTTTGACTATGGCAGGGTGCTGACACTTTTAAGGCAAAAATCAATATTGAAGTACAGTTGGCTTCAGAACTAGCTATCGCTGCAATTGAAAAAAACGGTGGTGTAGTTACTACAGCCTTCTATGATCCAAGAAGTCTGGGTAAGCTTGTTCTAGTAGTCATTTTCTTCTTTATTAATAACTGAGTGAATGGCAACTGTTGTTAATTTGATCCATATCTAGCATGTGGATTATCATGATACAAGAATAAAGCATGCAGCTGACAGACCAAAGACGATAAGTTTTCTCAGTCTGTCCTCTGAACCCAGGCCTATGTCTGGAGTCTTTCCTTGAAAATTCAGGAGGGATCTCAAACCTAACATGTGAAAAATGTCTCTTTTACCTCATCCTATTCTTGCATTTTCCCCTGTGTAAGTGACAGCTCCATCTTTCTGGTTTCCTATTCCACATTTGGAGTCCTCTGAACTCTTTCTTTATACCCTAATAAATCCTATGAGTTTGTTCTTCATACTGTGTTCACAATCCAGCTACATGTGGTCCAAACCACCATCCTGTTGCCTGCATGACTGGGATACTTCCTACCTGACCTCTCTGTGTCTGTCCTGCCTGTGGTGGAACCTGGCACAGGATTTCATTTAAAACATGAGCTACCACAAAGGCTCCAGTGGCATCCCTGCTGCTCCTTTGAGGCTGGGTATGATCTGGACCACCTTCTGCCTCACTCCCACATTTGCTCAGTTCCATCACTGGCCACCTGCCCTGGCCTGCCTTCTCATGCCAAGCCCCTTCACCTTCAGGCTTCTTTAGCTGTTCCCTCCTCCTAGATACTTCTGGGTGCTTCCTAGATATTACTTCCTCCACCTAGAATCTTCATGGCTCTGGGCCATGAAGGAGAGATCATTTCTTCATGTACTAGGGAGGTCATTCCTGACTGTACTAAATAAAAGAGCACGTGCACATGCGTAAGTACATACATGCACACGTGTATGTAGGCCTACACAAAAGCATATGCATGCATATATGTACCCATACCCTCAGGAACATGCATGTGCACGTGCACACACATGTGCACACACATACAGTTATATCCTTTTCCCGAGTTGTGTTTGTTCTCGGTAGCCGTTACAAACCAGCAGATGTTTTTTTCTTTTCTTTTTTCTTGGTACTGAGGATTGAACCCAAGGATACTGTACCACTGAGGCACATCCCTAGCCCTTTTTATATTTTCTTTTGAGTCTGGGTCTCACCGAGTTGCCTAGATTGGCCTTGAACTTGTGATCCTCCTGCCTCAGGCTCCCAAATTCCTGGGATTACAGGTGTGTGCCACCACACCCAGCTATAATTTTATTTCCCTCTCTTCCTTGGATGAGATTTTCATTCAGTTCAATTTAAATTGAAGAGATGAAAACCAAACACAGCTTGATGACTAAATGCTTTTACAAAGTATTTTTTAATGGTTTTACATTAAAATGGGAGTTAAACATTTCCTGACCAAATGGCTCAATTATAAGAAAATTCTTTTAAAATTGATGTATAAAGTAGAAAAGGAAATATTCATATTCTCTGTATGGAGAATTTAAAACAATTAGTTACCATTTCATTTTCTTCATAATTGAAAATTTATAAAAATATAAATCATAATTCTCATTTTCTTCTTATTGTAGATGAGCCTCTTAGCTTGGTCTGTCACTCATTTTTTAAAAATGTTTTTATTAGTGTATTATATTTATTTATAATAGTGAGGTTCATTTTGACACACTCATGCAAGCATGTAAAATAATTTGCTCCCATTTCAGTCCCTCATCACTCATATTTTTTAAAGTGAGCTTCCTTGAATATGAAAATGAATACTTTTCTTTACATTAATCACAAATATTTTTGGAAGGTTTTTTGATGTCAGAATATTTTTCAGTCATTGTCACCACGGAGTATGACAATGGTGTTTGCTCATCTGATGCCATTTGCTGGAGTCTAGGGAGTCATCGTCATCCTTGAGACTCTTGTGCTTGGCCTTTCCAGGCTACTCTACAGTTGTCTTGGGAGCCTTTCGTTAACTAAGCAATGAAATCACAGGTTTAACATTTAGTAGTAATTTTTTCTGAATAACTGACTTAATTGTACTTTTTCAATTATGGAAAATAAATACGCATTTTTCTTCCCTTTTTTTTTTATACTTTTTTTTTTTAGCTGTTGATAGACCTTTATTTATTTATATGTGGTGCTGAGAATTGAACCCAGTGCCTCACCTATCCCAGGCAAGTGCGCTACCACCAAGCCACCGCCCCAGCTTTTCTTCCCTTTTTAAAAGGGATATTTTAAAAGTAAGAAGAGTTCTTTCTCTTTGTGATTGAACAAAGTTGATTTAGTCAAACGTTTATTTATTTTTTGGTACTCGGATTGAATGTAGGGGAGCTTTACCACTGAGTCACATCCCCAGCCCTTTTTATATTTGATTTTGAAATGGGGCCTCAGTAAGTTGCTTAGGGCCTCACTAAGTTGCTGAGGCTTGCTTTGGCTTTGCATTTTCGATCTTCTTGCTTCATCCTTCTGAACCACTGGGATTATGGCATGTACCATCATGTTGAGCCAAATTTTTTAAAGTTTAGAATAAATTCTTCATTTTTTGAATGTTTGCTACCTCTGGGATTACATGAGTGGATCACTGCACCTGGCTGATGCCTGTTCTTTTAATGAGAAGACTTTGATCATGATGAATAATGCCTGATTTATTTTGCATTTTTGTATGATTAGGCAGCCATAAGCACGTTTTCCTAATTTATTGGAACTTTTTTTAAAAAAAATATTTTCTTTGTTGTAAATGGACACAATACCTTTATTTTATTTTATTTTTTTGTGGGGTTGAGGATCGAACCCAGTACCTTCCACATGAGAGGCGAGCATTCTACTAGCCCACTTACTGGGACTTTTTTTTTTTTTTATTTTTTTAGTTGTAGATGGACACATACCTTTATTTATTTTTATGTGGTGCTGAGGATCGAACCTAGTGCCTCATGCATGCAAGGCAAGTGCTCTACCACTGAGCTACAACCCTAGCCCCTTATTAGAACTTTTAATGGCTGTATCCAGTCATGTTTTAGGCCTAAAGTAAATTTGGGGTATGGGTGCATACAGTTTATTTGGTGACTGTGGACTGATGCAAACTTTTTTCTCTTCAGAGAAACAAGGTTATTCCCATATACTGTGTCTTTATTCACTCTCTAGTTCCTTACCAGAAAAAAAAAAAAATGTTTTTAAAGTGAGGATAGCTTATATAAAGTATTTTGTGAACTTCTTTCTTAAATATATTCCAAAGGTAATTTATTTTTATTTTTTAAGAGTTGCCACAATTAGGGCTGGGGATATAGCTCAGTTGGTAGAGTGCTTGCCTTGCATACACCAAGCCCTGGGTTCAATCCCCAGCACCACCAAAAAAAAAAAAAACTAAAAACCTGCCACACTCTGTTTTGTTTTATTTGTTCTTTTTTGATGTACATGACAGTAGAATATATTTTGGACATATATATACATGAAGTATAACTTCTAATTAGGATCCCATTCTTGTGGTTGTACATATGTGTGGTTTCACTGGTGGTGTATGTCCAATTTATTCTGTCTTCCCTATTCCTATCCCCTCATTCCCCATTGTCTAATTCACTGCACTTCTATTCTTTATCCCCGCCCCCGTGTTGTGTGTTAGCATCTGCATAGCAAAGAGAATATTTGGTCTTTGGCTTTTGGGGATTGGCTTATTTCACTTAGCATGATAATTTCCAGAATCATCTATTTACTGGCAAAAGTCATAAAGTCATTCTTTTTTTATGGCTCAGTTGTATTCCATTGTGTATGTATAATTTATCCATTCATCTGTTAAAGGACACCTAGGTTCCTTCCATAGTTCAACTATTGTGAGTTGAGCTGCTATAAACATTGATGTGGCTGTGTTACTGTAGTGTGCTGATTTTAAGTCTTTTGGGTATATATCGAAAAGTGGAATAACTGGGTCAAATGGTGGGTCCATTCCACCAAGTTTTCTGAGGAATCTCCATACTGCTTTCCAGAGTGATAGCACCAATTTGCAGTCTCACCAGCAATGGATGAGTGTACCTTTTTCCCCACATCCTTGCCAGAATGTTACTCATATTCTTGATAATTGCCATTCTGACTAGAGTGAGATGGAATCTTTTAAATTAAAATGTAGTTTTAATTTGTAGTATAGTTTTAAATTTAATTTGTTGTGTAGTTTTAAGTTGCTAGAGATGTTGAAGATTTTTTTTCATATATTTGTTGACCATTTATATTTCTTCTGTGAAGTGCCTGTTCAGTTGCCACAGGAAATTTCTTGGTGAGAATATCAGATATTTAATTATCCTCTGGTATAAGTGCAGTATGTAGAATTTTTTGTCCAGAGCATAAATTAGCTTTTGGTGCCTCTGCTTTTGTCATTCTTGGTCTTGACCCTTGATAGTCAGCTTCTACTTCTGAGTGGCCTGTCTAGAGACCTCCTCCTAATGGCCATTTCTCACTTGCCCTATGCTGGGATACTGCTAGATAATGCGATGTACAAGGCACCTGTCAGATTCTTATATTCAGCTAATATTTAGTCAATGTCTAGTATTTGCTGGACACTATTCCATATGATGGAGAGATGACAGTTCACGAGTCAGAAGTCCCTTCTGGAGCTTATTGTGTGGTGGGTGAGGATCCACAGATACCTTATTGTATAATAAGAACTTTGTATATATGAACGGATTAAGTCAGGGAAACTTTGTCACTGCCCTGTGATTTGTGTACTATTATTTTAAAGATCTTGGTAAGTTCTTTATTGAGCTTGTTTTGATTTATGTGATTTGTTTTGTTTCCTGCTAAGGTTAAGGTTGCATTGCTGAAGCATGATGAGTAGGACATCATTGTTTTTTTACAACTATTTGTGTATTTGTGTAATTGTTTTGTAAACTATCAAAAGGCTGTGGCATCAGTGATATTTCATGTCTATGTATTGCCTTTTCTTACCCCTCAGAGTCAGAGGACGTGCTCAGGTACTTTTAAAGGTTTAAAAACAAAACTCAGATTGTGTAGCAATCCTTTGTTGGTTGGTTTCACAAGAGATTTCTTTGCCTATTCTGTAGTTAAAAGAATTAATTTTAATAACATTGGTTTTCCAGAAATCTTAATGAATATTTCTAATTTTTTAAACTAGTAAGATCCCCATATGAAGATATTAAATACCTTCAAAGCTGTTTGACTTGTAGTTGGGACACCTTGGTTTTCTGTTTTAGGATTTCCTATTAATGGTGTGGTTAGCAGAACTCTATCTGGTCTAATACATGTAGACAATGTCATAAAAATTTATTTTTGTGTTTTTAAACATGGGGCTTAAATAAATGTTACCTGTGTTTAGACATTCACTAATCATTTGTTACCCAGAAGTGACTTTGGCTTTCAAGATATAAACTATTTAAAATGAATTATTTGCATTTGCTTACTCAGTACAAGCCTACTTAATAAAAAAGTTCTTGGAATTAGGTTTTCATCTCAGTAATTGAAAATTAGTAATTATAAGAAAATTTGTAACATATAGAGCCAATAATTTATATTTCTTTTTTAATTTAAAACATTTTTAGATATTCTGTGCAAACCTGTTCCATTCTTTCTGCGTGGACAACCCATTCCAAAACGAATGCTGCCCCCTGAAGCACTGGTGCCATATTATACTGATGCAAAGAACCGTGGTTACCTGGCGGATCCTGCCAAATTTCCTGAAGCAAGACTGGAACTCGCCAAGAAGTATGGCTATGTTCTACCAGATATCACTAAAGATGAACTCTTTAAAATGCTCAGTACTCGAAAGGATCCAAGGCAGATCTTCTTTGGTCTTGCTCCAGGATGGGTGGTGAATATGGCAGATAAGAAAATTCTAAAACCTACAGATGAGAATCTCCTCAAGTATTATAGCTCATGAATTCCCTTCCAGCAAAGCAGAGTTGTAGCAGAGTACCAGAAAAGGGACTGAAGCATATGGATTTCTCCAGTCATTGTATATAGTCATTTGCATTTCATGAATGTATAATTCCTCAGCTGTTAGTTGTTAGGGTAATCATATCTCTTTTTCATTTTCATCTAAAATTAAAATAACACTGCAGAAAATAAGGACTGCACATATGAATTGACTGTGTAGATTGTGTGTCAAAGATTCAAACTCTGCTGGTTGATTGAAGGACAATTATAAATATTTAAAAATATTTCTAGTCCATCTTTTTATGATCTTTTCTTTTCTGCCTTGTTATTGTTTCATATCAGAATTAACACCCAAGTGGAAAGAGGTTTATTAGTAGGCCTGCTCAACTAAGATTGAAGCAGGTGCTAATGAGCTGATAAAATGAGCTCCTTTTAATCAGTAGCCTCAGAGAGCTCTGCTACTCAGTATCAAGATCAGGAAGGTGATCAGGAAAGTGAGCTTAGGCTGGTGATTGACTTTTTTTTTTGGTACCTAGGATTAAACTCAGGGCACTTAACCACTGAGCCACATCCCAGCCCCTTTTTATTTTTTAGTTTGAGACAGGGTTTTGCTAAGTTGCTTAGGGCCTTGCTAAATTGCTGAGTCCACCATGCGGCCAGCGCATTGGTTTCATTAATGAGGTTCTTGGCATAAAAGTTAACTAGCGAGATCGAAATAAAACACACAGACTCCGTTACCTTTTTCTATGACCAGGTCCGAGACTGCTCCCCTCTCTGGCTCCAACCTCGAACCACCTGTAGGGCAGCAAGGTTTACTCAGGGCTAGCAGGAGAGAGAGAGAGCGAGCACGCCAGGGAGTAGCCTTTTATTGGCGAACAAGAAATTCAGGGGAGAATTCCATCCAGTGAAGGTTGAGGGGGGCCGCACTCCAAGCTCAGGGTCAGTGATTGGCCCCCGGGGTCAGTGGTCAGTCACACCCCCACACGGACGGGTTCTCTCATCAGGAGAGGGCCGGGAAAGCTCCGACACAGATTAGCCAGAGCGCCTCAGACCCAAACAGGGAGTCGCCCAGTCACGTGTGAGAATGGCTCTCCACAGCTGAGGCTGGCCTCAGAATTTGTAATCCTCTTGTCTTAGCCTCCAGAGCTTCTGGGATTACAGGCATGCACCACCATGGCAAGCCTAGTGAATGACTCCTAAGTAATATATTTTCTGGCAATATGGGAGATTAGAGAAACAAGAATTCCTAGCACTGATGAGATTAGACAATAATGATTAACCATTAGTATTCTGTCTTAAAGAAATATTCTAACAGACATAATTCTACTTATATCAGACATTGAAGACCTTTGTCCTTTAGTTATTTCAAAAAACTTTGGAAAACTTGTTCAGTGGTTATGTACACAATAAAAATGGTAATGGGAAAATTAAACTCATTTTTCTTTTGTTGTTTTTTGTTTGTTTTTGAGGTGGAGTCTTGCTATATTGAATAAGCTTTTGAACTCCTGGGCTCAAGAAGTCCTGCCTTGGCCTCCTGAGCTGATGGGAGTACAGGCTCATGCCAAAGTGCAGGACTTAAACTCAGTTTAATTTAAGAGTTAGTAAGCTAATTTAGCTTTTCAAAGATATATTGTATCTAAATCTTAAAAGCTTAATTTACCCTTGAGCAATTAAAAATTGATCTTAAGTAATAATTCTTCCACAATAGAAATAAAATGATTCTTGGCTGGTTATTTTCTTAAAATGAAAAATTAAAAAAGCTAAATCATGTAGTGTTCTGTTGTGTTAATTTTTCTACCTCATGCATTGAGGTAGAAAATTTATAAAGTAATTTATTGGGAATATACTTCAGTTTTTATCCAGGATTATGTAGTTTGGCTTGATACCAAACCATTCCTTATACCCTGGAAGTAAGAATAATCATTAAGGGGTTGGGGATGTGGCTCAAGCGGTAGCGCGCTCGCCTGGCATGTGTGCGGCCCGGGTTCGATCCTCAGCACCACATACAAACAAAGATGTTGTGTCCGCCGAAAACTAAACAATAAATATTAAAAAAAAAAAATTCTCTCTCTCTCTCTCTCAAAAAAAAAAAAAAAAAAAAAAAAGAAGACTCATTAAGACCTTATTCTGTGGTAATATAAAATCCTAGAAATTCCAAAGGTTAGGCAAAATTTAAAAACAAGTTTTTATCTTTCAGAGTCTCCAGGTGACTCCAAGTTGGTTAGTTTTGGCTACACTTTTAAGAGTTCCAAATCACAGTGTGTGAATGAGGTAGTTTTGTTTTTTTCTCACAAAGTGGCTACCCAGTTGGGGACTGGTTGCTGGCTCTGCTGTAGGAAGTATCAGAGCCTGGGGCTTCTCCCTCCTAAACTCTCCCACTCCGAGAGTACAGTCCTCATTTTCATGATCCAAATAAGAACCAACTGGAGCAAACCAACTTTTCCTAAGGAAGGTACCTAGAGGTTGCCACACAAAACTTCTGTTTACCTCCTATTGGCCATACCTTGGTTACAGTCCCATTCTGAAGGGAGCCTGAATTCTTTGGCAGCTTATCTTAACTGAAAACTTCTGTTATGATGAGTGAATAAGAATATATAAAATGTTAAACAAGCAAGAGGATTGACACCAATTTTGATATTGAAACCTCAACTCTGGTTGGTTGATTCACATTAGAAAAATTCAGGGAAAGTGCAGAATTCTTTAATTCTGCATCTACTATTCTGAAATGATGTGTTTAGTAAGTTTTATCACAGTCAGTAAATTACTTAATTCACCAATCTTGTGCACAATACTTTCAAAGGAGAGTGTGACAAAGTACAGGAAACCATCAGAGAAGAGGTATTTGTTTTTTTTCTGTGCCTGCTTTTTCTAAACATTTTGACAGCACGTCTTATACTTCCAGTGTTAGGCGATTAAAAAGTTATATTTACATGTGATATAAGAAAGAAGAGATGATAAGATGCCAAGAAAGTTGCAAAGAAAAATGCCAAGGGACAAAGAAAATGTGTTTTTATTAACTATTAAGAGTCCCTAAGAGTCAGGAATTGAGTAAATCTTATTTTTAAGTTACTGTTGGGACAAATCCCCTCAAATTTCCTGTCAGAACAAAAAGTGGTTCATACTTGTTTTGACATTAATATTGAAGTTTTAAAAGAAGCAAAAGTCCATATTCTTTTCCTGTTACTGTTGACCTACTTTCCAGTTTTTCTTCTTTTTTAATCCAAAGGAGATAGTTTGTGTATATTGTACAGAACTTACTATATCTATTTTATCTTATTTAATTAAATTAATTTGGGGGATTGAACCCAGGGCCTCATTAATGCCAAACATGCACTTCTACTGAGCTACAACCCCAGCCCTGTTTCAAATGTGTATATATATATACGTGTATATATGTATCTATATAGAGATATACAGATATGTATGTACATACATATATATTTTTATTTTATTATTATTTTTTTGTTCTAGGGATTTACCACTGAGCTATATCCTCAGTCCTTTTATTTTTTGTTTCAAGAAGGATCTTGCTAAGTTGCTGAAGGTCTCCCTAAATTTCTGAGGCTGGCCTTGAATCTGTGATCCTCCTGTCTCAGCCTTCCAAATTGCTGGTATTACATGTATGTGCCATCATGCCTGGCTTCAAATATATTTTAAAGACACTTTCTCTTGAGTATTTTCTATTAGGTATTTAAACTGTGCTGCCTTATATTCTTAAACCATTCAATGGAATGCATTAGACGAGTTACTTCACCTTTTTAAAACTGTATGTAATGTAATAATACAGTGACTGTGAAATACAATGTTATGTAAAATAAACTCTAAAGTCTCTTTCAATTATAAAACCTTTTATCCTCTAAGATTCTTTTGCTTTTGTGGTACTTGAGGATCAAACTAAGAACCTCATGTATGCTAGGCAAGCACTCTACCATTGAGCTAAACCCTAGTCTCAGGTGCAATACCTTAAGGGTAAAGATGTTGCCTTGGGCTAAGGAGAACTGCTTTGACCTCAACTGTTTCCATAGAAATAAATTTCCTTAAATGTAAACACATCCTGTGTTCTGTATCCTGGTATGAAGTGTGAAAATAAACCCAAGAGATACCGTTTTGTATGCCGTGGTCCTAGGTTAAGTTATTGCCTTATTCATGAAGGAGGGTTTTCTTTAATGATGCAGTTTACATTTGTAATTTTTCAGGGGCTGATACTGCTTCTACAGGAAGAGTTCTTCATGGGAAGTGTAGGAGGAAGTTAGTCACCTAAAGACACTCCTGTACCATAGGCAATAACCTTCCAGTTTCAGGATATACTCTGGAGGGTCCTTGGGTTTCCCTCCCCACCCCTGCAAGTAGAATGACTAAGCTACCCTGACAACAGTCTGAAGGAAAAAGACACTTAGCACAAGGCTTGCTTAATTGTGGTTGTCTTGGGTGGCCTACAGGTGAAAGGAAATGGGGATAGAATGATAAAGGAAGAATAAAAACAGGAAACAGATGTCTGTGATGTATAATGCTCAGCTGGTACTTATTTGGTGAGCATGGGGCTTAGTCACAAACAGCTGTATCCTGGTCTTAATATAATTGTGTAGATCATTCTCAGCCCAAACAGGCAAAAACAGTCACAAAAATCCGTCTATTCTGTTAAACAAAGATAATCCTTAAATCACTGTATAGCAGGGAGACTCAGGTTTATTTTAACTGCAACAATGCTGTGCTCTAAGGTACTGGTATACTGAGCCCCTTAAACAATTTATGAGGATCTCAGAGGATTCCAGATGGAAACTTTATCTTAGGGTTCACCTCCCTTGAAAATCTAACTATAAAAGCAGGAGGGCTTCAGTCCCAATTTTAGTCCTTTTCTGGTATGTAGCTTCAACTGTTTTCAGTGTACATGTTTTTTGAAGTCCAAAACACCTTGAGTTAATGATTTAAAAGATTTCTAAACTCCTTAGACAAATAATTGCTATGGATTTTCCATTTATTGAGTTTCTGGATTTTCTTTTCTTTTTCAATATAAAGTTACCCTCTATTCTTTAAACAATGAGGCTCTGCTATAGTAGGGAAAATGTCAGATAAGTATGGGGTCACTCAATTTAGTCTGTATCAGAGAATTAAATGTGCTCTCTGGGGTTAGTACAAATTCCAGAATGTCTGTTAACTTTCTTTCTCCTTAAGATTTTAATATAAGATTTTTTCTTAAGGA